CCAAGAGCTGGCTGTTGAGTCGGGCCAAGCGGCACTCTATAGCCAGTCTGTCCTCAGCTTGGGGCCCAGGGGTGGGTATCAAACCTCCCCAGGTTCCCTGGGCTCTGCCTCTATCCACCTTCACCTGCCGGCCAGCTGTCAATCTTAGTCGCTGAGAAGTCTGTTTCTGAAAGGGGTTTATGCAGAATCGGGGTATCAAACCTCTGGGTCTCCTGTGAGGGGCAAGTGCTGTGCAGTTTTCAGGGAATGTGGTGGGTGTGTTTCTCTGCCCCAGAGCTAGAGCTCCTCTGAAAGCGATCCAGAATATTCCCCTGCCCTCAGCTGGGCAGATTCTTAGACACAGTCCAGTGGGATTGGCTGGAAACCAGGAGTCTCTAACAGCTGTCCCCTGAGGGGGAGGTTCCAGCCAGGTTCCCGGGCAGTGGGGTGCATGGCCCAGCCTCAAGCCAGTCACTGAGCCTGTTCCACCTGTGGGCTTGCCCCCACTGCTGTCACCTCTGTTCCAGATGCAGGTGTGACCGCGTTGTCCTGAGGCTGGGGGAGCTGCATCCCCAGGGGCAGTGTTTTCCTGCACCGGAGCTGTGGCTGCTGGGAGGGGCCGCGCCTCTCAGGAGAAATGGCCACTTCGGTTTGGGGGAGGCTTGGCTGCCCAGGGCACCTGGCGGCCACCTTTCCATGTCCTTCCCCAGTACTTCCCACCCAGCCTCCTCAGGCACCCCCGTTCCGCACCACCCTCCCTCCACTGAAGCCTCAGGTGAGGAGATGGAAACGAAAATCCTGAGCTCTGGGGAATTCTTTATCTGTCTTTCAATTCTAAATGATAACCTTGCTGGGAAGAGTAATCTTGGTAGTAGATTCCTGCTTTTTATCACTTGTAGTATTTCATGCCACTCACTTGGCCTGCAAAGTTTCTGTTGAGGTATCAGCTGTCAGACTTATGGGAGCTCCCTTGTAGGTAACTTAACTGCTTTTCTCTTTCTGCTTTGAAGATTTTCTCTTTGTCTTTGACCTTCGGTGTTTTAATTTTAATGTGCCTTGGTGAACTCTTTGAGTTCATCTTGTTTGGGACTCTGTGTTTCCTGGACTTGTATGTCTCTTTCTTGCACCAAGTTAGGACATTTTAAGTTATTATTTCCTCAAATAGGTTTCTATTTCTTTCTCTCTCTCCTTCTGGTACCTCTATGGTGTGAATGTTGATATACCTTATGTTCCCAGAGTCTCCTTAAACCACTGTCATATTTTTGGATTCTTTTTCTTTTTGCTGTTCTGAGAAGTTATAGCCAGGTTGACGGCGACTCAGACATGGCAGCCACCTGGGGTTCTGTGAGGAGAGGGCTCAGCAAAGGAGCAGTAGCAGTGGGTTCTGCCAGTACTTCTGTCTGGGAGAAAGATTCCTTCTAGCCCCCCAGCTCTCACCCTGATGCCAGACAATTCATTTCCTCCCCATGTGTCCCTGGCGTCTTTCATCTTCTACCCCAGCACTTCTATCCGAGCAATTGAGTCCAAGCAAGTCCCTGTGTGGGCTCTGTAAGAGGAGCACCTCAGACCCTGGGAGTCCACTGCCTCAGCCTCAATCTACACTGATTTTTACAGTCAGAACTTATGGGGCCCTGGCTGGTTTGGCTCAGCGGTTGGAGCGTCGGCCTGCAGTAGAGAGACCCGGGTTCGGTTCCCGGTAAGGGCACGTACCTCAGTTGCAGTTTGTCCCTGGCCCTGCTTGTGTCGCGCAGGAGGCAACCAGTCGATGTGTCCCTCTCACGTTGATGTTTCTCTCTCTCTCTTTCTCCCACTCCATCTGAACAAAAAATGGAAAAATGTCCTCGGGTGAGGATTATAAAAAACAAAAAAAGAAATTATGGGCACTTTCTTCCCAGCACTGGAACCCTGGGCTCAGGATCCCTGTGTAGGGCTGGGACCCCTTACTCTTAGTGCACACCTCCATAGGCAAGATTTGTATAGGCCACACCTGGGCATGGGACCAGTGTGCTCTCCCTCTCTGCCCTTCCTGCAGTCTCGAAGTGGCTTCTTCTGTATAGCCTTAGTTACAGGACTTCTGTTCAGCTGTCTCAGGCAGTTCTCACTGATGCTACATCTGTAGTTTAGTTGTAATTTTGATGTGGTTGTGGAGGAGACAGGTGCAGCATCTTTATTGGAAGCCCTTCTCTGTGTTTTTTATGTGGACACTTGTCATTGGATCTGGGGCCTACCTGGGTAATCCATGATGATCTTATCTCCAGACCCTTAACTTATATCCATGAAGACCCTTTTTCCAAATAAGGTAATATTTACAAGGTTCAGGGATTTGATGTGTGGTATCTTTTCGGGGAGGGGTGGCTTTTTTTGCCTACCACACTAAGTATACAATTTTAGGTTGGCAGTTACTTTCTCTCAGCACTTGAAAGGTATAATTGTATCGTCTTCTGGATTATATCAGAATTATTTTTGTTTATTTGAAGTTATCATGTTCCTCCCCCATGATGCCCATCTCACCCTCCTTCACTTCCTCACTACTTCTAAACTATTTGTTTTCACTATGATATGAATAGATGTGAATTTTTTTTTTATTTCTCTTGCTTGGTGCTCACAGAGCTTCTTGATTCTTGTGAGCTGATTTTTTCCAGTAGTAACAGTAGCTCTTCAAATATTTTTTTCTGCCCCTTTTTCTCTTTCCTGGAATTTCATTTATAAGTATATTAGGTCATTTCATGTTATCTCATGTCTCTTACATCCTTTTCTGTACTTCTGTTTTTTTTGTCTGTGAGCTTTAAGATAGATATTTTGTTCTGTTTTACTTTGATTTTGCTAATTCTGCTCATGTATTGAATCAAGTCTTTTCATTTATTCCATCTTTTCTTTTCTTCAACACACAACTCACAGTTATTTTAAAGCCCTGTTGGCTGACTGCAGTCTCTTGATCACCTGTGGGTCTGTTTCTGTTGTCAATTTGTCTTTTCTTTTGTTTTCAGCCATATGGTCCTATCTCTTGGGACGCCTAGTGTTTTTACACTGAATGTAATACACAGTGTATTAAAAATTGTAGGTAGTCCAGCCCTGGCCGTTTTGGCTCAGTGGTTAGAGCGTCGGCCTGTGGTCCAGAGAGACCCGGGTTCAGTTCCCGCTAAGGGCATGTACCTCGGTTGCACTTTTTCCCTGGCCCTGGTTGGGTCGTGTGGGTGGCAGCCACTTGATGTGTCCCTTTCACGTCGATGTTTCTCTCTCTCTCTCTCCTTCTCACTCTATCTGAACAAAATGTGGAAAAATGTCCTCGCGTGAGGATAAAAAAAAATTGTAGGTAGTCCAGTTGATACCTTCCTTTGTTGGGCAGATAGCAATGTTGATTGATATTTTTTCCAGCTTTATTGAGGAATGATTAACAAAAAATTGTATATGTTTAGTTTGTACCGCATGTGTTACATAGATGTGTGTGGAGGGAATACAAACACTCAGTTCAGCCCTGGCTGATGTGGCTCAGCTGTTAGAGCATCATCCTGTAGACCAAAGGGTGGCGAGTTCGATTTCGAGTCAAGGGCGTATATCTGGGTTGCAAGTTCAATCCTTGGCCCCAGTTGGGGCACATGCAGGAGGCAACCAGTGGATGTGTCTCTCTCACATTGATGTTTTCTCTTCCTCTCTGTACCCCTACCTGCTGCCTGCCCCTCTCTCTAAAGAAAAAAAAAAAAGTCAATGGAAAAAATATCCTGGGGTGAGGATTAAGAAAAATAACAAGAAAAACATCCAGTCCATGTCATGCCCTCAGGCCATCTTCATTCTACTTTCTTCTTTGTTGAGCAGAAGGTGGTCCCCACTTAGCTGGAATTAGAAATTGAGACATTTTGGGGGAGGATGGCACTTTTGAGAAGTCCAGTGGGGAAAAAGCAGAATTGGGTTGGGGAGCCTCGGGATTGTGATCCACATTTGCCGAAGTCTCGGTCAACTCGGCAGAGCTCTGGGGAAGGAATGGCAGTGAGCGCAGGCCCTCGTTAGGCCCGAGTGGCCCTGGAAGGTGCTGCTGCTGGCGACTGGCCCACATGCTCCTCATGGCTAAACCACAGCTTCTTGTCTGGAGTAGAGATGCAGCTGGGGTTCACGTTGCTGTGTCAACTTAATGCATTCTAGGAACCATTCCAAATCAATTTACAGAGGTTGCTTTGCTCTTTTTTGTTTTACATCATACTGCTGCCTAACTCTTCATCTGCTGGTGGCCAGGATTTTTACTGTAATAACGCATTACTTGCTGTTTCTTCTGTGTTCACATGAATTATTAGTGTCTGTGGTTTAGTTTTATGAAGGATTCCTTGTTTGTATTAATAAATACGAGGTTGCTTCCAAGTAGATCATGAAATTGGCTTTTTCCCAGTTCCGTGTGTCTATGGTCCCCGTTCGAGCCCTGTCAGCATACTTAGCACTCTTCGGTCATGGGATCCAAATCCGGAATAAAACTGCCATGGGACTGGCAGTTTTCTGACTTATACTTGGATTGTTTTCTTGTGGGGTTAACTTAGTTTCTGCCAAATTTTTTTGGTTCTAGAAAGTTTTTTTTTATTATTATTAATGTTTTTATTAATTTTTAGAGAGAGGAAGTGAGAGAGAAAGAGAAAGAGAGAAACATTGATGTGAGAGAGAAACATCAATCGGTTGCCTCCCGCACACACCCCGCCCAGAAATGGATCCTGCAACCTGGGCACGTGCTCTGACCAGGAATCCAACTGGTGACCCTTCAGAGTATAGGATGATGCTCTACCAACTGAGCCACACTGGTCAGGGCAAAAGCTGTACGTATTTACTCATAGATTTAAAGGACATGATTAAGAGTGTGACTGTCACAATCCTGAGGAAAGGAGACAGCTAGAGACACACTGCTCAGGCTACGTAGTGCTGGTGGGCTCTGTCAGTCAGTCTGGACTTCTGGGGAAGATGGTGTGTCTGCGGGAACCCTGGCTGTAAAATCATGTTACTCCTTCAGGTGATGACATCAGATTATTCTGTGTGTTTTTCTGCAGCTGGTTTCCCCATGGGCTATGCAGCAGCAGCTCCTGCCTACTCCCCCAACATGTACCCTGGAGCGAATCCTGCTTTCCAAACAGGTATGCACGTTGTATGTGCTGGGTGGCGGAGGTGCTTTGTCCATGCAGTTGGGGGAGCATGTAACGGGGTGGATTTTGAGAAGAGTGGTTATGGAACTAGGATTTGGGATTGATTCCTTGGTTCATAAGATTGCCTTGTTGATAAGGACGATCAAAACTTAATTCTTCTTGCATGTAAAGCTTTAGATATTGCATTTCTGATGTCCGTTCACAACGCAACACAGATCTTCATTCTAAATATAGGTTGTTCCAGGTCAGTAATTGTGCCAAAACATGTATTTACGAAATAGTGTTGATTATAAGAAGCTAAAGCATCTTGCTATGCACTGGCCAGTTTTGCTCAGCGGTTAGAGCATTGGCCTGCGGACCAGAGAGTCCCAGGTTCAGTTCCCGCAAAGGGCACATACCTTGGTTGCAGTTTGTCCCTGGCCCCTGTTGGGGTTGTGTGGGTGGCGGCCACTCGATGTGTCTCTCTCACATTGATGTTTCTCTCTCTTCCTCCCTCTCTCCCTTCCACTCTATCTGAAGTTAAATGCAAAAAAAAATGTCCTTGGGTAAGGATTAAAAAAAAGATCATCTTGCTATGTTAATGGGTGGAATTTCCATGTTGCTAACATTTTTAGATATTATTTTAAATATCATTTTACTACTTTGGTTATAGTATTAAAAGAAAGTCTTATTTTCTATATAGTTTTCAAAGAAAGTCTTTATATTTTAGGGTTTTTTTTGCTTTTGTTATTTTTGTTTCTGAAAGTCTTATTTTCTACACATGAGAATTTTTTTACATTTTAGAAATGAGTGATGAAATCGGAAGTGGTTTGGGTCTGAACCTTGTAAAGAAAGTCTATTTGGTGGAGTTTTTCTCTGTGAGCCTGCACTGTGGTGCTGGCTCATCCCAGCCTTTATCCACCGACACTGAACTCTAGGTCCCCTGTGGCGGACTCGGCCTCACTGGTCCGCCGGGCGCCTCTTTGTCCTTCAGAACCTGAGCCTCACACAGTTAACCTTGACAGGAGAGAAGACAGCAGTACTATCTTTCCCTGAATTCTTCCTATTTTGTTCATTATAAAATTCTTCCTTTTACCCCTCTCTTCCATTTCATTTCCACTCTGACCATCTTTGTTCAGCCTGTAACTCACACCCACAAATGGCTGTTCTTTTCCAACTAGTTATTTATTTATTTATTGCTTAGCTTTTATTCATTCTTTCTCTCCTACCTGAACCAGAGTACGTGCTACTTTGCACCTGTCTGTTGGGGTCTGCTGTGGAATCCCCCTCCCCTGGGGTATCATTCACTGAACTCTGGGCCCACAGCAACACTCGTGCCCTCGTGTGAACATCTCCCCTTGCGGACTCCTACACAGCTCTCTTGGGGTATAACTGAAAGTGTATAGTTTGATGACTTATGATCTAACGTATGCCACTCTCACAATTGAAAGTGAGCATATCTGTCACCCATAAACGTTTTCTGCTGCCCCTGATTTTTCTCTCGTTATAGATCATTTGTATTTTCTAAAATTTTATATTAATCATATGGAATGTATTATTGTTTGGAGCAGGGATGGCTTTGAATCATATGGACTATACTTTGAGGGAGGCTGGCTTCCTTTAGCACAATTACTTTGACATGTATGTTGAAGTCGATTGTTCTTTTCTATTGTTGGGTGGTGTACCACCGTATGGACATCCACATGTGCTCTTCCCCAATGGATTGTTTGTAGCATTTGGCTGTGACAAATGAAAATGCTATGAATATTTACGTACAATTGTGTGGACATATGCTTTCCTTTTCTTAAGTAAATACAGAGGAGAGGAGTAGCTGGTTTTTAAGGCAGAGTTATGTTTGACTTTGTAAGAAATCGCCAAACTGTCTTTCTAAGTGACTATACTTGTTGGTTGCTCCCACCAGCAGGGTGTTCCCGCTCCTCTGCCTCCTTGTTAACACAGGATATCCTCACACTTTTTCATCTGAGCTATCCTTGTGCAGTGATATTTCGTTGTTTGTTTTTTCAATTAGCAATAATCATGCCTCAGATGAACATCATTGGCTACAATACTGCCACTGTGCAAAGCTTCATTGTGGTTTTAATTTGAGCTTATCTAATGACTGATAATGTAGAATATCTTTTCATGTGCTTATTTGCCATTTGTATGTCTTTGCTTAAGTGTTCATATACAACTTTTAGTTCTATTTCTGCCAGTTTCTTCTGTTTTGGACATGTTTCTTGGTCTCCCCATTGTGGCTGCCATCCTGTGTTCGTGTCTGTGTAGTAGATGGATCTGCTGTGTCTTCCAGCATTGGCAGAGTGGTCTTACATAGTAGGCGTCCCGTGGGGCCTAAGGGCACAGCCTCTCTGATCACCGGAGCCTGGTGCTCCAGAATGATCCCTTGTGTGGGTTGTGTGTGCCCTTCTGTTGCTGTTGGCATGTCAGGTAACCAGCAGTGAGGTTTGGCCAGAAGGAACCACAGTGGATGAGTCGCTGTGCAGAGGTTGACCCCACAGAGCAGGACTTTGGAACTAATTGGGTAGTGTTCTGAAGCCAGCCAACGTCTGTGTTGGTTGTGGGGCCTCTTAGGAGGGACTGGAGTGTAGGCCAAGGTCAGCCACTACCTGTGACCAGCCCAGGGCTGCCTGGTAAAAGCTAAAAAGTGACCCATGATTGGTAGCTGCCCATGCTTGGCCTGGAGGTATGTGGGAGAACCATGCTGTGAACCGTGACCAGCTGCCACCAGTACCGGCTCAGGGGCTGCTTAGCAGAAGGGTACCCCCAGGCCTACACCACCTGCTGGCTCCCTGTAAGGTCACTGAAAGAGCCTTGGGTGGTTGGCCAAGTGGGCGAGGTGAGTTGGGTGCGGTGGGATTTCAGTCACCAAATTGGGTTGAGTGGGTTCACCAGGTTAATGCAGAGCAGAACTGGTGCCATGCTAAGCCCAAGGATACTTTTCCAAAGGCACAGGGCGTGCCAGTGCTGTTCACCACTTCCTGCCTGGGTGCTGGGAGCTTGTGAGAGTTACTGAGAAAGACTGCAGTGCAGGCCGAGGACAGCTGCCTGTCTTTGGCTGCCTGCAAGTTGGGTGGGGGCATGGTCTCAGGGAGTCACCAGGGCAGAGCGAATGATGTTCACCAGAGGGAGGCAGCCTCAGATTTTGCCCATGTAGGGGTAGGCTCAACACAGGGAAGATAGTGCCCACCTGCCTGCTGTGCAAGGGGAGGGCTCCACTGAAGGACAGTGGCAGCTGTCCTTCCAGCCCGCACCCTGAAGCCACACAGCTCTGTTTCTCCCTATATGTCTCCAGCATCCCCCAAGTTGCTGTTCCTTTGCTGGAGCCCAGGGTAAGTGCCTGTTGAGTCACTGAGTTTGTGGGCCCTTGAAGAAGGTGCCTGGGTTTCCAGCAGCTTCCCGTTTCTCCTGGATGGACTGAATCCCTGCCAGTTTGCAGAGCCAGATGTTGTAGGGGCTCCTCTTCCCCACACTGGTGCTCCAGGCTAGGGACTGGGACCCCTCGCTTTTAAGGGGGAACCTCTGCAGCTCAGATATCCCTCCCAGTTAACTGCCAGACATGAGTGTGGGACCAGCCCTTTTCGTGTCTCTTCCCTCCTGTCATTCTTATGTGGCCTCGTACGTGTATTCTTGGTTGTAGGACTTCTGTCTAGTAGTTTGTAGATGGGTTGTTCTATAATGTAGTGGTAAGCTTGATGTGATCCTGGGAGGATGTTAGCAGGGTGTTACCTGCCCTCCATCTTGACCAGAACCTGCCCAGTGGAAATAATTTTACAAAGATGAAGATGTTGCTAAGAGTTTTTGAATGTCTTCCTTGGTTGCACCATGTGTAGCTGGATGGAGGATTAATTAGGGAAACGTTTGAAGGACAATTTGGCAGTGTATTAGGAAAAAACTTAAAAATGAGTCCTTTTGACTCACTTCTAGGAATATATCCTGAAAGAGTAGCCAGATATGCAAACATTAATGTACAAGTGCAAATTTATCTGATAACAAAGTTATGTTTTAATTAAACTCTTGGTTTATTTCACAGTGTTTAACTGGTCTTACAACTTTTTTATGAAGAATCTTTAATAAGTAAAATGCTCTACAGTATACCCCCTTTTTTAAACCCTGGAATTAGGTACATGAAGTAAGACCCCAAGTTTATTTAAAAATTAAACTTCATATGGCGGCCACACAGGAGAGAAGATTGTTAGAGTGTTAACAGGTTGTGAGGTTGTGGGATCCATCTCTCCCTTGCTTGAAGTAAAGGTTTGCAGACAGTTGGAAGACTCCCCCACGCTCCTTCCCATGCTTGTTACTGTGACCATGTGAGCACTGTGCACTGCTGTGAATGTGCGGCCCTTCTGCAACTCCTCCCCCTGGACCTGGTGTCCTGTATTAGATTTCTGTAGTTATATTATTAATTAAGGCTCCAACATCCCCTCAGGTGTGGGGAACTCTCCTTACTATTTTATTCCACAGGAGGGTTTTTGTGTTTTATTTTATTGGTGGTCTCTTTTGAAACCCACTCCGGCTCCCGTCCGGACTGCTTGTCCTCTGGGCCTGACCCACGTGTTCTTCTTCCTTATCTCCCCAAGGCGTTCTTTTGCTTTTCCCTTCTGTTTGATTCCTTGTCTTCTTCCTCAGTTTACTCTTTGATTTTAGTGGAGGATCTCCTTCAGTGATCTCCCAAGAGAGTAGGAAAGAGTCACAATTTTGAGATTTTTCATGTCTGAAAACAATTTATTCTGTGCTCACACTTCATGAACAGTTTGTCTGTAGAATTCTAGGCCAACAATTATTTCCATTCAGAATTTTGAGAACATTCCTTCACTGTTTTCCAGCTCCCATTGCTGCTGCTCCATTGACTGTAACTTTGGTCTCTCTGTGGTGCTCTGTGACAGTTGTCTTCAGTGTTCTGAAATGTCACGATGCTGTGTTTAGTACAGCACTCTCCTTGTCACACATACTTTACGTTTCTTAATTTTCCAAATTTACTAAATAAATATCTTTTATTTTTTATTTTTTGGGTCAATTAAATATTTATTTCTCTGGTTGACTAAAACGTGTGTCACTTGATGTAGGAATTTCAGTTTTCACAACTCTTGGGTTTTATCCAATTCTAAACAACTGTTTCTTAAAGTATATGATTCGCAAGGCAGTGGAATGAAAATCTTATCAAAGACCTTGCTTATTCAAAGGCATCAGCTTATACTTTGTCTGCCATGTTATTGTATTTTTTATTCTTTTTTGGTTTTTTTTGCCTTTTAATTTATTTTTGTTACAATGTTTCTCCTTTTTTCCCCATTGACACCCTCCTCCCCATCCCCCCCCCGACCCTGTCCCTAGCTTTCTTGTCCACATGAAACACTGTCAAGTCTTACTTTCTTTGGAAGCCCAGGAATGGTTCAGTTATCCTCTAGCTTTTTGCCTGGAGGCGCGGTTACTTGAAGAGCCTTGGTTTCTCAGTTGAATGAAAAACTTCCTCAAGCGTTCTGCATGAGAGGATTTCCTGAGGGTGGGGCAGATGCTAATAGTTAATGAGCCTCAGTTTGCATTTTAATCGCCCACCTGAGTGGGGTTGAATCTCTGAGGGAGGGGCCAACGCCTCTGCCCACAGCCCTGGGAAGGAGTAAGGTGGCCACTGTCCTGAGTGGCTGCATCTCAGCAAGAGCTCTGAGCGTCCTTCAAATCCCAAGTGTTCCCACACAGTGTCAGTCCCGTCTGCCCTCCCTCTGTTGGAGCCCAAGGTGAGTGGCTGTGGCTAATTTAGTGCTCTGTCCTGGCCCTCTGCGCTGTGGCTTGGGATTTTAACCCTGAGGGCGCTGCTCACAGCTAAGACCACTAAGACGGCTGCTGTCTGTGGACTCCCAGCCTCTCTCTTGCACCTCCTCAATCCTCAATCCTACCAGGATTAATTCAGTGTCCCTGGTTATATGGTCCTCGCAAGCTGCTTTTCTGTTGCTTTTTCCTGATGATTTGTCTTTATTTTAGTTGTAATTCCAGCTTGGTCCTGGGAGATGGTCTGTGTAGCTTCCATTCACTTTGTCTCCATTTTGGAGTTCCCCAATAAGTATCTTTTATACTCAGAAAATTATTATATAAAATCTGTGTGGTACTTTTGGAAACAGTCATCCATTCAAATATAAAAAGCTCTGGCACAACCAGCAGCCTAGGAACATGAGTTCTTCCCTGAGGGGAGTCAGCCAGCGGCAACTCATGTTCGGTGAACAGAAGGACAAAGGTTCTAATTATTTTGTTGTCTATGTTACATTGGTGAGGGTTGTCTTTTTAGGGACGGAGAACCTGGAAAGCTATTATTGTTTTTGAAAGGCCTAGCAATTAATACATTGGTTCTGTATTGTGAATGGTTGGCAAGTCTAAAAATTATTTCAGAGAGGTAGTGTTTATTTTGGATATATGAGTTGTGTGTATGTGTGTATGTATTTTAAGTTGTTTATAAGGTTCCTTTTGAGGCTTTCTGGTGTGATACAGTATATCTAGTGCTATTAAAAGAAAAAAGGAAAGTGCCTGACACACACTAAGTATTTGTTTTTTATTCTTATTTGTTGATTTGAGAGAGAGATATTGATTTTTTTTGTTCCACTTATTTGTGCATTTATTGGTTGATTCTTATATGTACCCTGACTGGGGATCATACCCCCAACCTTGGCATATCGTATCGATGCGCTAACCAACTGTGCTATCTGGCCCGGCACACTTAATTTTTAATTGACTAGGAGGCATGCTTGCTTTCCTTGAATGTGAATAGAGAGTAATGTAATATTCATGCCTATATATGAAAAAAAAATCTGGTGGGTATTAGGACATTGCTCACAGTTATAAGAATAAGCAGTAAGATAATTTAAAACCATTGCAATAATCAGTAGAAATAGTGGGTGACTAAATTTCCAACATTATAGTGTGAAAATTTACAAATATGGAGAAGCTGAAAAAAATTCACAGTGACCATGTTCATATGGACTACAATTAAACATTTAAATTCTACAATTAAAAAACCTTTTAAAAAACAATTTTTAAAACTAACATTTTACTTGTTTCATGTATATATTCCTGTATTCATTC